CGTCTCGCGGACCACGCGGAGGACGAGGGTCCAAGGGTAAAGGAGGCCCCAAGGGAGGCGGCGGCGGCGGCGGCGGCGGCGGCGGAGGAGGAGGAAACAGTGGTGGCAATGCCGGGGCTGCGAATGGGAATCACCCGGAGAGCAAGGGAAATTCCGATAGTAAATGAGCCGTTATGATGATACATGTAGTGATGATAATACCAGCAGTTTCCTCCATGAACAACCCATCTTTGATGATATAGCTATTGATATCCCACAGTAGATTAGCTTCGAATGATGAAACAGCACATACTAGACAACCACGGACATTGGATGTAAGTTCGCATCGGATCATCCCCGAGAATGAACTAGGGAATGAAAACCAAGCCTAATGCCAATGCATAATTGAATACTCCACACACACTATACAACTGTTCTTTTTATACTTTGGTCAAGGTACACCTGCAGGGGCATCTGTGGGGCCGAGAAACGGCGCCCCACTCTCTAGTATACTACTATGTATCCATCTAGATCACTTCATACAGTCAAACCTTCATCATCAGCATAATACCATAACCATCCTCAACCTTTTGAATTAAACATTACCTAGTATATCAAGTTATCAACAGCATACACACTACCCCTACAGCTTCCTACGGCACAACCCCCACCGTCCCCCTCTGAAACAGCCCAAAAGCCTTCAAATTCTCCTCCCACTCCACCCTCGCCTTCTCCAAAGCTCCCCTACCCCTACCCCTACTGCTACCCACCTCATCTCCCTCCTCCAACACCACCGACCTAACCAACCCACACTCAACCTCCACGACCGTCCCCCCGCCTCCCAACTCCCTCCTCAAATACCCCGGCCACTCCACCCCAAAAAACCCATAAATCCTCAACCTCCGCAACTGTCTCAACCTCGCCAACGCATGCACAAAGAGGATATTATCCCCGAGGCCTCTCGCCTCATCGCCAGGTTCCATGTGCGTGAGCCAGGGGATGTTCGTGTCCCATCCTATCTCGAGATATCTTAGACCGGTCGCGTGCTCGGAGAGGTTGTGGAGGAGAACGATCCACGACCAGATGGTGGAGCTGGAGTTACTCCAGGGAACGAAGATGTGGAGGGAGCGGAGGAGGGAGGTGTTGAGCGGTCCGATGGAAGTTATGTGGTGGTGGAGTTGGGTTGGGTGCGTTGTTGAGAAGGTGTTTTGGGTGTAGAGGATGGGGAGGGCTTCGGCGTGGATTTGTTTGCAGGTTAGGAGGATTGAGGGGTGGAGGTTGTTGGTTTTGTTGTGGTGGTGGTTGTGGTGGTGGGTGTAGAGGTGGATTGGGTTCAGGGTTGAGAGTTGTGGTCGGTTGTTGGCGGCGAAGAGGGTTCGGCGGTGGTGGGGGTTGTGGTGGTTGGTTAGGAGGTGAGTGTAGATGAGGAGACGGATTTCCGGGGGGAGAGTTAAGAAGAGGTTTGGTTTATGTGGTGGTGGTGGTGGTGGTAGTTCGGTTGGAGCTGGATATTCTAGGAGTATAGTAGATGAGTAGAGACTAGGGAGTGTTGTATTGAAAGTTGGCAGTTTACGTGTTAAGGAGGGTGGTGGAGGTGATGGAACAGGGTCATGGAAATTGTAGAAGGGTACTTTGGTGACATCTTCCACTGCGATGGCCATGACGGTGCTGTGCTGGCCTACATTGCGAGTTCCAACTGTCCTTATGATAGTTAGATAAATCCAGAATGTTGGGCCGGAGAATATCGGTGAGATTGAGCGCTATCACATGATAGATAGTACACCGGGTTTCCTGGAAAGGCTATATACGTTCGAAATATACTCTACCAAGTAAGTTCGGAAGAACGTACCGTATCATCGTTTCAACCGCCTGTCCTATGATGATGGCCAATAGCAGGCACTTACTTTATCTACGATATGATCATTGATGGAAAAGACCTCCGTCCTCTAAAAAGCTACAAATCCCGACTGCCGCAGACCGACATGGATTAGTACTACTACTCACCCAAATCCTCGCATGTTCGGCAATGCACTTCATCGCAAAACATGGTCGGAAAAATCTAGCGTGTCATAAAGCAGTGTAAAATCATAATTTTCATGATATTGCGAAGTTTAATTGTATTAGCCTAGGGTTTGCAGTGTAATTCTTTGATTATTGAATTCTCGTCGCCATCAGCGATACCGCATACTTCCCGGCGTATGGTCAGCAAAGCTTATTCTTCCTCGTATGTTCCAGAGCTTAACCGTTGGGTAGTGTTGAAAGTTCCCGGGCCATGGAGAAATTGTTCCCAGAATGGCAGCACCAAGAACAACCGGACAGGGTTATAACCAACCGTTGAGTCGCAAACCCATCATAAAACCTAGATTTGTCGAGCCATCAGCTTTAAAATCCACCTCCTCCAAGTCACGCAGGACTTTCTCAAAGAAATCGCCGGCGCCGCTAAGTTTCAGAATATGTGCAATGGCGCAGTGGACACGGAGAAGTCTGGGGTCTGGTGGCTCAATCCTCCCATTAGGACTAATGCTCAGAGTACGAGTGACGGGGAAGAGCGGGTCGCGCAGGAATGAAGTTTTAGACGAGTCGATCTTATATATCCTGGATGAAGAGATGCAGAAGCGCATGGGCCGTGTTTTTATTCTGTGGAGTTACTTGAAAAGCTGAAGAGGAATCCATAAGGTTCTCAATATGATTGATGTTGGCGTTAGGCCATGTTTATAGTTAAGATAGGTACTAGTACAGAACCAGTCACTAAGGGAATGGACCACTCGTCGTAAAAGACGGCCGTCACGTGGAGCAAGTGCAGGACTGGTCCAAAACTAGATCGATTCGTCTGTCCGCTTTCAACGTGCAATCGAGAGCGCTTAATCGTACTACTTCAGAGGGGATATTCGGGTGTACATATATCACTGCTACGAGCAAGAGTAGATATTGTTTAACGAATAATCGGATATTATTTGGCTATACTGATGACGCGAAAAAGACAAGATTGAGCAACTCCATATCCTCGTACACCAACATTAAAGTGTAAAAGAGGGGACACCTTTCAGACCTCCTCGACACCCACCAAGTCCGACCGACCGAAGTCAAGACATCATGACAAGGTAAAGATCATCACCACTCCCTGGACCATTGCACCGACACTCGAAACAAGTCTACCGAAATAGATTGTAACAGAGCGTGCAAATGCAAAGTCGAGTCGGAAGTAAAACGGCTTCACTTTAGGGCATCGAGGACATAGCAGTCATCAGCAAGGGTGGAGATTCTGTGGCTCTTTAGAAGAGCTCAGAGGTGGGACGTCTACTCTAAAGTGATTCTTTGAACTGTAGGCAGAAAGTGGTTAGCTGATGATTCTCCAAAGTTGCATTGTGGAAGGCCGAAAGGCTCTTCCCAATGTTAGGGGGGAGGGAGACTAACGTAGAGTCGCTTAGTTTTCTAAATGAATGGGGGCGAGCAGCCTTTTATATCTGCGCGGTGGACGCTCGCTTACGCTAGCCACTAGCGAGGTCATGTGTTTGGCCCGTTTTTGCTTGATGTGGGACTGGGTCGCCCAATCAGCGTCCGCGAAAACTCTTTCCTTCTACTGGCCAGACCGTCACTTGGGGGTAAAATTCGCGTGTTACTGCTTCATGAAGCTTCCATTGCCTGTTTCTCTGACTAACAATTATTGTTCTCGACTAACTTACTACGTAGTCAGTTCTAAACGGAACTTGCCTTCATGGTTGTGCCGCAGTAAAGCCGATGCATTTGGTGCCTGAGGACGGGAAGTATATCTATGAATTCGTTCGGCACAACCGCTTTCATAATTTATACTTTGTATACTATAGACTCCAACAACACCACAGATCTACAGCCTACTCCAAACCTCCCCATTTCCAAAAGAGTAACACTATAGCGATCTTTTCTGAGCGATACGCGATACGTGCCCTGGCTGCATCTGATTCAGCGCAAATTCCGGCCCGGGTCTCAGCTTGGAAATGTACTCCTATATGAGTCAATAAGGCGTTCATCCTGAGACGATGCTACCTCTGCGGACAAAAGACCAAGAAATTCGTCCACTCTACACATGTTGTATACAGGGTTGGAATCTGCTACCCGAAACAGTCTGTTTCAACTAGGTTGACTGCCGGCTACCCTGCCGGGTAGCTTAGTATGGCTCATTTTTCAGTCTACATGGTGTCTCGATGAACGTATCAGGATCGCACCCCCTACAGCCATGACCGTTTGAGATTGATAGCCACTTCACCCCCACATTCTGTCATGGTTATACTTCCGGCATGTGGTCCATCTTCCGGGCACCAGGGTCCTTGTGCTACAGGGTCTGCTTTTTGGAGAAATGATGTAACAAGTTCCGAGGGGTCATCGCTCGGCTATAGTTATCGGGAAATATTTGGTCAAGGATAAAGCATGCTAGCTGACAGCTCCTTGTCGCAGCTGCTTGCAGGCATTGCCTTGTATTACTGTGGATGAAGGTCCAGTGTGTATTCTTAGAACTACTCTAACCATAAGCTGCAGGAATTACCTTATAGCCTACGAGAACGATGAAGATTGGAAAAGACACATATTGTGATGAAAGTCTTACTCAGCACAACATGGAGACGTCCGGGGAAAAGTTACTTCCTTGGACTAACTAGAGAGTATCGACAGACTTACGCGGGTACGAGTTTCCGATGTAGGGTGAGGCTAACATCGTTATGTGTGCGAACTGCAATGGCAATACAATTCGAATTAGGCGTTTTAAAGCCCGTTTCACGATTGACTCCCCGGGGTGAACAAGGCACAGACATCTTCCTGTTCGTTCATCCATCATGATCGTCCCCGTTCCTGCTCCACCTTTACCCAAGAATCGGTCGACCAGGGTCCTAGTGATCAGCAGTCCCTGATGCTTATGTTTCCGTCGGGCTCCAGCGGCAAATCTTCCCACCAAAGAGAGCAAATCATCCAATGTTTCGACCAAAATTCGAGGCGGGTTGGAATTTTCCAGATCCCGACTGAACCTACAATCAACCAGGCGCTACATCACAGTGTTTCTAAGAGACTGAACAGGTGCATCATTGATAGGCTATCAATGTCTTCCGGATCCATGCCAGCCTTCACGGCCCGAGCAGCCAAAGGTATATAAACCTTGCCCTCTGAGTAGTTTCTATCATCATCAGCTTCACATCCCATCACATCTCAATTTCATACTCTCAAACTCTCAACATCTAAAAGCAAATCAGCTTTTCGACCAGCAAAATGAAGTTCACTGTCGGTTCTGCTATGGTGGCTACCACCTTCCTCTCCGCTGCGAACGCCGCTTTCCCCTCGATCCCCAACGTCCCCAAGACCTGCTTGGAGATCCCCCAGGTCATTGGCAACAAGCCTCTCCAGCTGCTCTCCTACTTCCACAAGGAGGTTTGTGAGAAGAACTGCACCGCCACCATCAACCAGCACAACCAGTACCTCCAGGAGTCGGTCTTCCCCCAGATCATGAAGGATCTGGACCAGAAGCTGGACGTGCCCGCCTCCGAGCAGGCCTCTTTTCAAAAGATCCAGACTCAGATCAATTCCGCCATCGAGAAGAACTGCAAGTCTGAAGGCGACAAGCCCCTGTGCAATGACCTCGAGGGGCTGGCCAGCTACGGCCGCTGCGCGCTCAATGCTAGCCAGCCCATCATCTTGAACAACATTGGCCAGCTCCAGGGCTCCATGAACATCACCGACGCCGACTGCACCAAGATCAAGCAGATCGACTCTGATGCGACTGTCTGGCAGAAGACCCTGCCCGGTTACATTGACAAGTTCGCTCAGGAGTGTGAGAGCGAGAAGTCGAACTAGAGGTAAGGCAGTTTGCCGATCCAATGCAAGCACTGCTAACTGTCATCATCAAGGTTCGCGAGACCAAATCTTCGGTGATAGGAGCTTGCTATGTCGCAGGGACGTATAGTGTTAGGAGATCGGGAATCTTTGGCTTTTTGGATTTAGTCTGAATGCTGTAGCAGCATCTGGGATGCTTGCCGTCGCTCCTTTGGACGCGTCGAATCGCAATGAGAAATGTCATTATGAGTGCCAGACATTGAAAGATTTCCGTCGGGTACTCTAGTTTAGATTGTGAAATGTGATATTTTTGTTTTTCTGTACTCCGTACCTGCAGTAAAATGTCGATCGTAATTTGCTGGTGCCTGGGTTGAACCCCTGGCGCTCACGTGCCTGAGGATCATCCGCGGCGGCTTCCGAACTGCTGCTTATCTCCATCCGATAACTTCATCCGATAGTGTTCCCTTACCAACATCATCAAAAAACAATCTCCACACTCTCTTTTCATTCCCCTTCAGACTGTCGTGGCACAATGCGGGGTGCTTCCAGTCTATCTCCTTGCAGAAAGCACCCTTGCCAGCCCCCGAACGAACCTCTCTGAGATTGGATCTACTTCACCGAACATCAGTGGCATCACGGGCACCCCAGACGGATCCACTGCGCATCTCAGCATGCCATTCTCGGTACCATGCCCCGCCCTAAAGTACACCCAGCCAACCGTCTAAGAGCCTACGAAGCTTGCAATGCATGCAGGTCAACGAAAAAGCGATGCAGTGGGACATTTCCATGCTCGAAGTGCATCAGACTCGGACGCGCCGATACATGCGTGCCCAGTCCACGTTCCGCTGCTCAACGGCCAACTGCAAACACCCGAATCTCCGGCAATAGCAATGTAAGCTATGATTCTGGGCGTCGACCAACCACAACTCTCAGTGCAGGTAGCTTGGCAGGTCGGGCAGATTCCGCTAGCTTCGAGGCTTCGGAGCCAAGTCGATCGACAGTAGATACTCAGCCTATGTCCCCAGAAACATTACACAGGACTCATCCACGGATGCTTCGCAATCTCCGTGGCGAACGAGGTAATAAAGCACTAATTGGACTATATCAAGTGCTGTGACTAATCCGCATTCGGCAGTCTATGTGGGAAAGGCTGCCTCCTTGTCCTTTCTGCAACTAGTTCGGGACACTGTATCACAGTATATTGGGCCATCGCAATTCTCGCACAATGTGAAAAGCGAAGATATGCTAGAGACGGAGACTCCGCATGGAACACCACCAACGCTAGAGAGCAGTCTGGACTCATATCAGCTACTCCAGTACTATCAAACATATAGCTCTGCTACGAGTGGCTTCATCTACGTCTTGTCAAGTGCGGAGGCTATGGAAGTTCTTGATGCTTTGGTTGAGCCCACCACACATCCAGACAGGACAGAAATGGCAGTTGCAGGTATGATAATTGCTATCGGGGCACAGGCCAGCAAACGCACTGTATCGACCGAGCAAGCCGAGCGCTATTTCTTCTCCCGTGCTCAACGCAGCGCCTTCGAGGGGATGCTGGAAAACCCCAGCTTGACTCTGATACGGTTATTCCTGTTGATGTCCTTCTATATGCTTGGTGCTTGTCGTCGGAATGCTGCCTTCATGTATCTTGGAGTGGCTGTCCGAGCTGCCGTGGCATTGGGTCTTCATCTTACCGAGCTCGCGGATGCCGTGCCTAGCCCTGAGCAACACCAGAGAGCAAGGGTGTGGATGAGTGTTTATAACCTGGACCTCCTAGTAAGCTCTATCCTTGGGAGACCAGCTGCGACCGCTGCTCTGCGTTCGGAAACAGAAGATGGTCCCATCCGTTACGCGCTCCTGGAGGGCCATATGTCGATGGGCTTGGTTGCCTCCTATGGGGTCTCGAGGATCTTGGAGGAGATTATCTCGTCTATGTACAGCAAGGACGGAGCCTCAGCTGAGCTCGCGGACTCGCTTTTAGCTAAACTCAAACAATGGAGCGATGAACTACCGGGGCCATTGGTGGAGCCTCCTAATCTTGACTTTGACGAACCCGCTGCGCGAGCCCACATCATCAACAATCTTCACGTTGCTTGCATTTACCATTTCGCTGTAATTACGGCGACGCGACCCTTCCTGGTGTCAGTATTGGGTGTGCGACTGGCGCGTTTGCACAATGACTCCACAGACGGCACATCAAGTGATTTGTTGCACGAAGATGCAGCACATTCCAATCTTGCAACTGCTTGCATCGATTCAGCCTTGTACATGATACAAACATGCTCCGAGGTGCATCGCTCTGGACTCATGCTAGGTAATATGTGCATACTGAAGGCTTTTGTATTTGCTGCCGCCTTGGTTCTCGGGTTCTCGATGTTCTCGCGAAAAGAGGCCGAGCCCTCACATGAGCAGGCTTACGGGGAAGCCCTGGAGATTCTTCGTGTGCTTTCGGAGCAGTCCGCCCAGGCAGGACATTACTATGAGATACTCAGTTGCCTGGGCAATGCTGTGGCTGAGCAGCGTCGACGACTTTTACAGCATTCCCGCCAGACTAAGGGACGATATGTCAGTAAGCTTTTTAGTCTGGATGATCGCAGGCCCTCGGTGGAGGTACAGGAAGGGCTAGACACGCCATTGTTAAATGGCGTTTCTGCTATATCCCCTGGGGCCGGCATCTCGGAACCATGGGCTGGAATCCAACGCTTGGGCTTTATGGACTCTTTGGAGATTGATGCAGCGTTATCTGGCCTAGACGGTATGCAGCTCCCGGTGTGGGATAGCTTTCCCTTTGTTGGCGAAGCTTTTCAGCTGCAGGGCAGAGCGGGCGATGTAACTTAATGTAGTATGAGGACGACTAATGCCGTAACTTATGATCTATTTGTGCATCATTTGGCAGGAGCGGGTATAGCGTTCCATGATTATTTATCAGTCGTGTAAAAGGTGTCCGACGTACAGACACCCCCGAGCCTTCGGACTCCTTTATTCCTAGTTTCTTTCTAATTGACTTACTACCTGGTGGTGTTGTGGTATTGAATAGATGCCTTGGCCTGTACTAGTAGTGTACGTCTTCCATGGGCACCATCAGTAGTCCGAAGGAACGAGAATCTGTGATATTCGAGAAAAACAAGGGAAATCATATTGCGATTATATATACCTTTTCACCCGCCACCTACAGTACCTATCCAATACTGACCACAACGACCGAATACTGCATAAAAGTACCAAGACAGGTCAAGATACATATGACCTAACATACTGCATGGCCGCAGTGACCCAAATAAAACCAAACTCGCATGTTTACCACGAGAATGGATTATTCAAAGATTCGATTCTTTTTGATGGTTCAAACTGTGGGGCAAGCGGCTGGCTAGCCTTATATTACAAATATTGTGCACTGTTCTTCAACAGCTGGCCTGCTGGCCCAATGGTAAGGCGCTTGACTACGGATCAAGAGATTGCAGGTTCGAGTCCTGCGTAGGTCATTTCTTTTTTTGCTTTTTGTTTAGCTTCCCACTCACTGTCTGCCATCTATAAACATCTCGGTCTCTCTCTACTCTTCACAACTCCACCAACCTGATGTCGCCGACCGTACCATCACCCTGTAAAAGTTCATTGCAGTCAAACGGTGCATGAGGTATCGGCGGGACTCGTGTCAATCCTGCATCCTGCACCAACTTTTTCTTTTCCCAGACCCTCCATATGCGCATGAGCTGCCAACTGACTCGTGAGAGTGACGCCTGACGAAGGTTGTCAATGTCCGTCCGTTAGCCACCCTCTGCATGCACCATGCTGCAGGATGCGAGCGAGACAAATAATGTGCCAATAAGATCCGTCCTTTCAATTCCGACCCCTCCCATAGGCTTCACGCGCTACAGTGAACTACTACTCTGTAAATTAGATGGTGGTTGGTGGCTGTCTGGTCTCCACCTTTGCAGCTCCAGCGGCCCGCCGAGCGGGTCGTAGATGCATCGGGTCTTACTATCAGGGAAGCCTGATTTGTCTGCACCTCTCCCTACAACAGCTGGGGAGTATGCTAATCCTCGCCGGTCTTCTTATTCCCCGCCCAATACTAGATGATGGCGTTGGTTAGCATACGACTGGCGAATAATTCTCCTACGACTGCAGCCACTCCCGTTGGTGCATGTAACCGGCGACGATTGAGGATGACGATGATGAGTTACAGTTGATGAAATTTCGCCTCGCTCCTAGGGGCTGAGAGAAATGCACCAAGAGTGCCACCGTCTCACCAGCCGTTACAGCAGATGCGCCGAGCAAGGCTATGGCATCGTGCATAGAAGTTCTAACGGCGACCGGCCTGGATCAGCTCGTCCTCACCTCCCTCCCCACGCCGATCACCGAGTCATGACCTTCATGGATGGCATTGATTCATCACGACAGACCATACCAGCCAATGTATACCCTGTCATGAATGGGGTCGTCGGCAACCGTGCAGCTAGTTGACGCTCAGCTATGCGTCTTCTATCATCTCCGATGCTCATACGGTTGAAATGAGGAGCACAAGTGTATGCACGACCCCCTCTCGACCCCGCAACATATGAAATGCAATACATCGTGTAGCGACAAGGGTGCGCCTGCACTCCATTTTTATGAGGGTATCCCCGTCCAGAGGACCCAGTTTTGCTGTTTCCATCAAGACCAGCACACCGACGGACCGCTAAATCATGTTCCTGCTAGTGAGAGCCATTGTTGGCCTGCTTGGCCTTGTCATTCTCAAGTCCTTCTTGACTCGCAAAAGGTTTCTGGCTCCACTCCCCCCGGGCCCGAAGCCAAAGCCGATCATCGGGAACCTGCTCGACCTACCAGCCAAGGGAGAAGCAGATTGGCTGCATTGGTACAAGCACAAGAAGACCTATGGTACGTATAGTACTGACGCCTATGTGCCTATTCACAGCTAATGATATCTGTAGGCCCCATCAGCTCGGTACAGGTCTTTGGAGAGACCCTAATAATCGTTAACGATGCCCGGATTGCAGTCGAATTGTTGGAGAAGCGTTCGGCCACACACTCAGATCGACCTAGCTTGACATTTATTGAAATGTTTGCAACCGCCGCCCCAAGACCCGGTTAATTCATTGCTAACAGGTGGCTAGGTGCGGATTTAAGGATTTGTTCAGTCTGAGGAACAACAACGACCCGCGTGTCCGGACTGAGCGGAAGCTATTCTATCAACAAATTGGTTCAAACAATTCTGTTGCGCGGTTCAATCATATCCAAGAGGCCGAAGTTGGTCGTACCCTGCTTCGAGTGCGTGATAACCCCGAAGGTCTGCAGGACCACATCCGGAAGTATGCCTGCCATATTAGGTCCTGGAAATGCACCAGCGCTAACGGTTATATAAAGGCAAGCAGCGGCAATCATCCTGAAGATAGCATATGGATACAGCGTTGTACCACATGGGGATGACCCACTGGTGGATCTCATAGCCCGGGCGATGGGAAATGTCGGCGCGGCCCTTGTTCCCGGGGTGTGGATAGTGGACTTTATTCCATTCTGTATGCACTGTAGCTCACCCAAAGGGAGAAATTGGCTGACCGGATGAATAGTGAGGCACCTCCCGGCCTGGTTCCCAGGTGCCGCTTTTGTACGCGTTGCAGAGACATTCAGAGAAAGCGCCCGGGCCTGGAACTGTCAACCGTACGAGTTTGTCCGGCATCAAATGTCGCAAAATAAGCACGCGCCATCCTATCTATCCGGTTTACTCGAGGCGAAGGGAGTTCCAGAGCCAGGTTCCTTTGATGAAATAGTCATGAAATGGTCTGCCGCGGTAATGTACGGTGGAGGATCCGATACGGTAAGTCTACCACTCTGAACTCCATAAACCGTATCTAATCATGAGCAGACCATATCCACCTTGGGCGGACTTTTCCTCGCGATGGTTCTCTACCCGGACGTACAGCGAAAGGCACAGGAAGAAATTGACCGAGTTGTGGGGACAGACCGTCTTCCCAGCTTCAGCGATCGCGAGAACCTGCCATATATCGACGCCATGGTCAAAGAGGCCCTCCGTTGGCATTCCGTGACCCCGATGGGGGTTGTACATAGCTCGTCGGAGGATGACATGTACGAAGGCTACTTTATCCCAAGGGGTTCCCAGATCCTGCCGAATCAATGGTGAGACGTAGCCTTTTTCCAGTCCATGTCGAAGTCTATTTCTAACATTTCTTCAGGGCCTTCACCCACGACCCAGATGTTTACCCCGATCCTATGACCTTTAAGCCAGAACGGTTCTTAGCAACTGAGAACCACGCTCCCGAACGCGACCCCCATCTTCTCGCCTTCGGATTCGGCCGTCGCATCTGTCCCGGCCGCACACTGGCAGATTCCAACATCTACCTGAGCATTGCGCAGTCGCTGGCCGTATATAGTTTCACCAAGCCCGTCAAGAATGGCAAGGAAGTGGATGTAGAGCCGAAATTCTTGCCAGGGGTGATCAGTCACGTGGCGCCGTTCGAGGTGGGCATTAAGCCCAGGAGTAAGCAGCACGAGGCGCTGCTGAAGGAGTTGGAGATCAAGTATCCTTGGGAAGAGGGTCACGCGGCAGAACTCAGTCAGGTGAAGTTTTGAACAGATGAGTTCCTTGCATGTGCTGATCGATAATGTTTGTCAGATCATGCATGATTTAATTGCAGAGTAGTAGTTGGGAGGGCATCTCCCGTTGGGCAGAATGATGAATTTAGTTTGTCAGATGTTACCAACAACTTAGTTATCACGGGTAGACCGAAATTAGGCAGACAAGTCAAAACCACCCAGTTAGTTTAGGTAACCGTGACACCAACACCAACAAACCCCCATCAATCAAGTCACTGTAGAATCAGCGTGACAACTATCTGAATCATCCAGCCCCATTCTTGAGCCTTAACCAATAGTGAAATGAGGCAAAGGAGATGAAACATAATAACCGGCCCAGCCACTTATAACTATACCTAATAGACAAGGTTGATCTACATACCACACTTATTGATACTTATACTGGTTACCCCCGCAATTTCGCCACTCACTCAACTGTCAACCACCAACTCTAACTAACCCAACATTCCTTACTACCTATCACTTACCTATCCACCACTACCACAACTATACTATACTATACTATACTACAATTACATCCACATCTACATCTCCATCTAGAACCACACCATACCGAACACAATAACCATGACATTCCAACTCCCATCCCCACCACCCTCACCATCACCAAGTCCCACCTCAACATCAACATCACGATCAAACTCAGACTCAGGATCAATAACCCTCCCCCGCTCACAACAAAGCATCGAAACCGATCTTGCAACACTCGAAGCCATGATCGAGGAACTGGGCGAAGCAGGGCGGAGGGGAAGGATTGGTGGAACTGGAACTGGAGCTGGAACTGGGAGAGGACGGAGGAGGACGAGGACGAGATGTGTGGAGAGGGTGGAAGATGTGAGTGGGGCGATGAGGGTTTGTTGTACGATTGGGGGTTGAATTACCTGGTCTGGTCTGGTCTGTTTTCATTTGTAATGTGGGTTGGGGATGGAGCGATGGGGTTGCGCGGTGTTGGGTGGTTATTCATTGTGGGTTTTAGGGAGTTTGTGATTGGGATTCTTTGGGAATTTTGGGGGATGGTGTTGATGATGGATATGTATATGGCTATGAAGCTGGCTGTTTAGCGTAAATTTGCTTTGGGGGTTTTGGGTTTGGTTTTGATTGAGGATAGAAGGGTGGCGAATCTGCTGCTGCTTGCTTTGAATCATAGCTATGGTGTTTGGATTGCTTGTTATCGAATCATTCTCGATCATAGATCTTTTATGGTATGGGTTGATGGTAAATGTGAATCATGGTATATTGCTCTCAGATTACTAGATATTATCATATGGATGATCTAGATATCCATTTGTAGATGTGTGTTCGTGTCGTCGTATGAACCTAAATGTCGTGGCAGTGCATCGTACATGTAGCAGCCAGCTGCTACTGACATAGTTTCGCATCAAGTATCCAAATCAGTTGCATCATGTTGTGCAACTGAAGAGCGATGGGCGTGTAAAATGGCTGCCGTTATACTGTCACCATCGCACCATTCAATAGCCTGACAGAGTTAATTTGGCTCAAGCTCATTCTTATACCGATGAGAAACACACACCTTGCACTCATATTCCAAAGCAAAAAGACACAGAGAAAGATAAGCCCATGAATCAAAGCTGCACACACGTTAGCTCATCTCGCAAGCATTGAATTGAGATGCAAACCAACCTTCATGTCCAAAAGATCTAATCATCTCCCAACGACCACGTTTCTTCATCCACAATGGAATCAGATCCTTCTGACATGTCCTCCCCTCAATGACCAGACACCCACCCGGCTGTGCCCTGCACTCCAGATGCCGTCTTCTGCGCTCCATGATCATTCGAATTGTCTTATTGCAGAACGCCTCGTCTGTCCGGAACGAGCATTTCTCCATGGGACAATCGAGTTTCTGCGAAAAGCGCTCGACAAACCAGTCGACTTTGAGGTGCACCCCGGTGTAGACGAGAGAGTAGAAGTGACGAGAGGTGTGTTTCAATGCTAGTGCATCTGGGTATGGGAGAAATGTAGAGATGTGTAGATGAAGTTCTGTGGGGAGGTCCATCAAATTGAGGGAAGGAATAGCTGGGGTTTCTTGGAGTGATGATGAGTCCATTGTGTGTGTGTTGATTGTTTGTGTGGAGGGTAGTGTGATGTGGAGATGTAAGATGGAAGAAGCAGATGTAGTCTATGAAGATATGATATGTAGCCAAGCTGTGAATGCTGAATGAATATCGACCTATTGTTTGGATGCTCTAGACACCTTAATATCATCCGATATTTGGTTGCCTTGGGGAATTATTGAGGCAGCTTAATTGTTGCCTAGGTGCCGAAAATATGATGCCTGATTGTGGCTATACGAGACTAGGCGGCAAAGAATTGAGCTGCTTCAAGCAAGCATTCGGAAGGTTAGATGAGTAGTGTGGAGATAGGAAGTAGGCCGAGAGCGACTGTCCTGAATTCCCAATCCATCAAGTACTTCTTAAAATAAGAAGTCTAGACTTCGAGTGGACAGTACCAAGACACACCAAGATTAAGCAGAGATGGGTAAGGGGAACAACAACAATAACCAAGAGTAAGATCCGGGGATGTCCTGCAGATCCGCCCACCCCGCTTTCCCCACCGCCTGCCATTTCTGCCGGCAAGCTTCTTTTCGCCTCCGATAACCATCGACATCAACTAAATATCAAGCTACCAACTCCAATCAATCAACACATACACACACTCCAGCACCAAATCACATCTCCTATAAACAGTACCTGAAAGGGTACTCTCACAACCACAATGAGCACCAACAACAAGCAATCCTCCTCCGCCTACGGCACGCCCTCCTCAGACACGGCCTTCCGCAAAACCTGGGACCGTGAAGAATACGCCAAAAAAGCCGCCGACGACGAAGCCAAGCGCAAAGAAGAATCCAAAGCGCGATATGAGGCCAAACTACTAGGCAAGAAATGGCACGCGCCGGTCGATTACAGCCAACTGGAAGCCACGACATCGCGCAAAGAGCGACTCGATGTCGCCTCGATGGTTGGCAAGACGACCATTGTTGCGTCGGGATCAGCGATCGGAAAGAGAGGTCGGGGTGCGGGTTTCTACTGCTCGGACTGTGATTTGACGTTCAAGGATAACTTGCAGCTTGTGGAGCATTTGAATAGCAAGCAGCATTTGATTGCGACGGGACAGAGCGGGGAGGTGACGAGGGCTACGGTGGAGGATGTGCGGGAGCGGTTGAGGATGCTGGCGTATCGGAAGCGGGTGCGCGAGGAGGAAGAGAGACGGGCTTGGCAGTTGGATCTTGGGGAGAGGCTGAAGGAGCGGGAGGAGCAGGATGCTAAGGAGCGGGAGGAGAAGAGGAGAAAGAGGAATGAGAAGCGTCGTAAGGGAGGCGATGGAATTAAGCAAGAGGATGAGAGCTGGGAGGGCAGGTTGGGGATTATTGCATAAGCTCGTGTGGTTGAGCTTGGGCGTGTGCATGGTCTGTTTTTGGAAATCGTGGTCATAGATGGGATGGTTTATCAGGGCTAAAAGCTGCAGTATACCCATGGCGTTTGGAGCTTGAGCATTTAATATTCGCAGACTTTCGTTTTATCCAAACACGGAAAATATCATTGTCGCATCACAAAGCGCAGAAATCCCATAAGCATATACCGACTGCACCGTTATCGACAGAGCCTGCGGCGAAAATATTGTACCACCGAAAAAACAAGATGAACCCAAGTACCTATCCAATGCCCATTACCCGACCCGCTTACTCCTAACCGACAATATCCAAGTGACCCGCTCAATCTATGCATTCTATGCCTTCCAAGACCCGCATAGCTCGAGCACCCTCTCGTTCGAACTGGCTGACTAGCCTCTCGCACTCCTGCTTGAGTTTCTCCTCTCCGTTCTTTGCGTTCCACTTGATCCATTCTTCGACGGTCATCTTCTTCTCAGGGCTTGTCAAGTCACCTTTGACGCTATGTAAACCGCCAAAGTCGATGTTCTCTTTGTTACCTCCACCCAAGATAATTCCATCAATGTCAATGGGAGTCCACGGATGGGATGTCTTCAGGGAATTTACATTCGCCCCTCGCTTGGAGGGGGAAGGAGTGCTGGCCGCAAGTGGAATCCGAACCTGCTTGGAAGGTGACGCTACTGGCGCCCGGTTTACAGACGGTTTCAAAGACGGTGGCTGATTTTCGGCGTCAGATGATTGCGGCGACAGTGACAGAGTGCTCTTGGAAGGCGAGGGAAGAGGCGACACGGTAGCTGGCTCAGGTCGTTCTCCCGGTTGATGCTCATCTTCCGGCGCTGGGTCGACGTGGGAGTTTCGAGATTCTGCTAGTGATCTGGCATATTGCTTTTCCCTGGGAATGTCGCTGTATCTCTCCACCGTCTTTGGAGGAACCCTCGAGGATCTGCGTCGAGCAGATGGCTGATCTGGGGTCTGACTTTGAGGCTTTCCTTGCTCAGGTTGTTGCGGGGTGTCAGGCTGTTGTTCTGGCTCGTCCGTCGCCTTGTTCTCAGCCTTGGCGTGGCTCTCGTCGTGGTCTAGTACTACATCAACCTTCTGCTCTGCTTGTTTGGAAGCTCGCTGCTTCTCCGCCGAAGCCTTTTTCTTCGTCTTCTTAGATTCCTTGTCATTCTGAGCTGCACCGACGCCCTGCTCTGAGTTTCTTGCTGGAATTTCTACAGAAACGAATGACTCATGTTCCTTCGAGTCGGCCCCAGCGTTAGTCGTAGGTTCAGGCTCTGGCTGTGTAAGGGGCTGGGGAGACTCTTGGTCATGGCTGCTTTGCCGAAGCTTATCGGAGACTCTTGCACTCTGCCGTCTGCTTGTGCGGCGGGTCTGCTCAACCTCTTCGACTGGTGATTCCGGTTCTGGTTCTGGAGCTTTCTCAGGCTCTGGAACCTCCTCCCGTGACTCCGGTTCTGTGCGCTGCGCTACCACTTCATTCGACGGCTCCGGATCCGCCTTGGTCTTCTTTTTCGATTTAGACTTGGACTTTTTCAACGGCTTAGGCTGGGGCTCCTCGCTTGGCTCGTCAACAGGCTTCTCCAGATCTTGATCGACATCCATTGCGATTGCTGCTTCGTGCTCATGGTTGGGAGGAATCTCCGATGCAGCTCTCGACACGACTGAATCTGTGGAGACCTTCCGGCTCTTGGATGTCGTTTTCTTCTTTGTTCCACGACTCTTCTTTGGCTTCTCGTCTTCGACAGGAGGGTCGTCTACATGTATATCTTCCTTGACGGCCTCCAGACTGCTGTCGTATTCCTGCTGTGTGCTATTGCGTGACTTGGTGGCTCTCTTTTTGGCAGGTCGTTCAGGCTTTTCCACCGTCTCTGAGTCGACAAGTTCGGCATCATCCTTGAGTTCGTCACTAGTTCTCTTCTTTCCCCTGGTGCGTTTCGTCTTTTTGGGTTCAGGCTGGCTGTAATCCGTGGTATCGATATCCATCTGACTGTCAGCGTCCACCACTTCCTCCTTCTTTGACTTGGTCTTCGATTTGGATTTGGAAGATTTCTTCGAGGATTTTGTTTTTGTAGTTGATTGGGACAGAGTACTCTGGTCTACCGGGTCGTCTAGCTCAGACACTGGCGCTTCCGATGCGGTGGATTGTGTAGATAGACGGGAAGCCTTCGAAACACGGGACTTTTTGGACCGGGAGCCTTTTCCTTTCTTTCCAGAGGGTTTGGCAAAGACAAAGAAGGAGCAATCTGACGAGCGACGGTAATGTTCATCACTGATCTAGTGAGCGATAGCCAGGAAGGAAGGAGCAACACAAACTCACAATGGATCATCCTTGGGTTCCCAGCCATCCAGAGACAGTTTACAGTACGGGCAGGTGGCCAAGTCGTTGCTTTCCTCGTTCGGACAGAAATACCATCCACCTTCCACCATCTGTAATGCATTGCCAATTAGACTCCCAGAATGGAACCGGCACAGCAGGTACAGCAGCAACACTCAACATACCTTATCGGATTGGCAGTACCAGCCTCGCTTTCCGTCATGTGGCCATGACTCGCCAAATGTGGCTTGTCTGGCTTGCGCTATCCGCTCGCTCGTGGGATCTTCAATCTCCGCAGGATTGGAACTGTGCTGTTGAATATCCATCATGATAGCCCAGCCACAGTCCCGCGTATGCTTGAGATGCTCTGTAATGGGGTTGTCGTCTTCCTCCCAACCATCTAGTGCTCTGCGGCACAGGAAACATGTTGTGTTATCGGGGTTTGTTTCGTAAGGGTTATAGAAGAAACCTGCATGCGCAAGCTATGACCGTGTGACATATCAGCAAGTGTGAATTTCCTCAAGGTGCAGATGCCAACACCGTACCTCAGCGGGAGATGGCCGGCTATGCGGCCAAGCGATCGGTTTCGCAGACTTCGCGCTGGATGACCTCCGTTTCTCGGGATACAACACCCGATCGAAACTGGCGAGGCGAGCTGCAAAGGTCTCCATTTCCTGGGCCATTGCTGCGAGAGATTCAGGACATGGGGATTGGTGAAATTGGGGGTAAAATCGAGCTGTTATCGACTAAAGCGCGAGAGTTGTTGTTCGAGGCCTGCGCCCGCCGTCCCAGCTCTTGTTTACGGCGTTGTTTGGGTCTCCGAAACGCGCCGCGGAGGAGCGACCCCACGTGACCTGCGAGATGTGGCTTGACTGTTTTTGGGAGTGTCTGGGGTCGGGATCGTGGCGAAGTCGGGCACTTTCCTCATCCGGGCTGCAATCGAACAGGCCGAGAACACCTGCCGAAGAGTACGTCAGACCCTCATTATTCTCATTATTGTGAACATTTGTTGTCCTCCTTTCCCCCCCAGATCTACTCTCCACTCTTCCTCGCCTTCTATTGACCTTCCTCCCAATCTGTATCGATTTGGAAGTATGGTCTGAGGCGGTCATTCTCAGATGGTTCTTGATTTGATTTCTAATTACAGCCCTCGCTGTGCTCAACTTTCCCTTCCCTTGGTGGAATCGCGACAATGCGCCAAGCTACTGTAAGAGGAGACACCGGGATGCCTGAACCCTCGGAGTGCATCACCCGTTAGAGGCTAACAATCACCTTGCTAGACTTTCCTTTTGAACACGAACTCAGGTTATGTGCGCCTGCGTTCGATCAACCCGTCTCTCCCGCGGCATGCGCGTATCCCGGGTTCTTTTCGCTCCTTCTCGGTTGACCCCTACTCGACTTCATCATCTCATGGCATCTCATCCCCTTCGAACCGATCCTCTTCCCCTGGTGTCATAACCTCGCAGTCCACCTCTACTGACCGTGGACTCCTGCTGCCCTCGTCTTCAGCCTCCTTCTCTACCTCCTCACAGCGGTCGGATCCCGGCGACTGGGATGCGAATCCGGACCTATCGATCTCGGCGTTTTCGGAGCTACCTTCGAAAGACTTCGGGGTCAACCAGCATATGGTAATCAACCAGGAGTTCAAAGAAGCCTTGCGTCAGATTCTTTGGCAGTTCCGAGCCCCAATTCGATATGCGTTTGCCTATGGATCCGGTGTCTTCCAACAGACAGGCAGTGCGCCTGGCTCCAGCCAATGCC